ATGTGACACACACAAAAATTGATGTTTGAGTGTTTTTAAATACTTATTTTTAAAATAAGAAATTGAATAATATATAATACTAAAATCTGAATTATAATCTACAATTTGATACCAGACTTATTGACATAAATTCATAAAATAGTAGTTGAATAAAATTTTCAATGCAAGTCAATAAACACAATGACATGGCCTTTGACACGTGATCTGTAGTGATTGGGTTAATTAGATCAATTAACATGCAACCGTGTCAAGTTTAATTTTACTGATGTGGTTGATTTGTTATGCAGTGCTAACATTAAGCTTTAATTTTAACCTAAGTAATTTTTTGTATAACCAAACAAAATCATTGAAAACTGAGTGTAATATTAAAGGACATCATAGGACCTTTTGGTCCTTCTGGGCTGTCTTATCTACTAAATTAAACTACACTCTATAGAAGAAAAAAAAACAACCTCAAAGCCAACCCTTATCATTCAAGTATTTATGAAACTTTCCCATAAACTACCCTAAATTAACTGTATATACCACATCCAAAGACAACCCCCTTCTAAAGGCTATCAATCTTGTTAGAAAAATATAGCTGTCTTAGCTAAAGATGACTCCTACCCTGCCCCAAGATGTATATTTGTGACCCCTTGTCTTACCCTTCTCACCATTGAATATGAAAAATCTCAAATTTTCTTTGTGTAATCCCTAAAACCACCTGAATACATTTCCAACGGTTTTTGTTTCAGTAAAACTTGATAGTTTATCTGTTATTTTCTCTAACCTATCTCAAAACAGGATTGGTCAATTCGACCGACCTCGTAACCACCAAAAAAAAATACATGAAATAAACCTATATTACCCTTTTTCTCTCTAGAATGACTTCAAATTGTAACATGAAACTACATTCGTTTATCCTAAGTAGCTCTAAGTTTGTAACAGTATACATTTATTTATAATTACATTTTATTGTCTTATTGCCCTTTGAACCATGTTTAACTACTATCCGTGTCATTATAAGTTGTAACTCACTCGGAGAACGTGCAGCTCATGTTACGCTAATGAATTACATTACCCACAAGCTGCTCGTGTGTGTGTCTCTTGAAACATTTTTATTATAATATTATTATTATTTATTTTACCTAATCTGATCTTAACAAACATAAAAGGATCCCTATTTTTACATTTTAGTTACTTTTATTGTTATACGTAAAGAAATAAAATACTTAACCAATCTTCGTTTTTCTTGTTGTAGGTTTCAAAGAGAAATAACCCTAATTTTTTATAATAATGATAGTAATGTACTTAATAATTTTTATTTAATTAAATAATGCATCAAAGAATATAGACAAATAACATGCAAAAACTTGGAACTCTTCACAGGAGCCATACCCACTTTGAGCTAAATGTTTATAACCAGTAGATAGACCACATTTTAAAATACAATCTCACAAGAGTTATTTTGAAAATGGCATGAAGAATTCCATGGAGAACTTATCAAACTGCTCTTAGCATTGTTACTGCTTTTGTCCTCGCAAGCACTTTAGTATTGTTTCTCATCTATAAATATATTATTTAGATTGACAGTTGAATTGTATTTAGGTTTTATGTTTTAGTTAATTATGTTTTAAATTGCATGTTAGAAATGTGTAATAATTTTTTTAAATATAAGAACACTGCTTAGTGTAGTAAGCGAATGCCCCCAAAATTCTGACGAAAGATGAAGTGTTTCTGCTGATGATACCCTAATATTGCCTGAGAATACTTGTTGATGTGTGTCATGATAAGTAATAATAGTAAAGGACAGGAAAGGAAAATATAACATGAAAATCAACTAGATGTGAAAAAAAGGAAAATTTACAATTAAGAATATAGCCGAAAGAAGTTTTTAAGATTATTCAATGGAAAATTAAAATGTATGTACATTTTCTCTATTTTTAATTTTAACCATTTCATTGCATAATACATTGATGGTAATTTTCAAAATTTCAGAATCTGAGTGCAAATAACTAGAATGCAAAAATAACAAATCTTTAGTTAAAATATTTAATTAAAATAATCTCATTCTTTGTGTAAAAAATACTTGTAATCTTTAACAAAATCTTACCAATTGTTGTGAAGATATGTTAAGAAAGCTCAGAGTTATTGTAAGTATTGTTGAACTGTGTATCATTCTCCATACAGGAAGTAGCCAAATAATTTCAACCCCGTAATCATAAGGTTAAACTAACACAAATGCAGATGTCACTTGCCTTTGACACTAGAGAGTAGAGGTAGCTTAATGAGTTTTATTTTAAAAATAGGCTAGAGAGAGTTGGAAAATAAACAAACATTTTATGCTAAGTTTTGTTTTCCAAATATATTTATTCTACATCAGTAGTTCAAGCCAACAGCTAATGTTTCTGTGTTCCCTAGGTAAGATATATTATTTATTTTATGTTCATTAATAGGCTATTCTATATAGTGTATCAAATGCCATTACTTTTTATCTAGATTTTTTATTTATTATTATACTTTTATTTTAAAAATTGTTCTAAATTGTTAGCTTAATATGTATGTACTTGACAATAACGTAATTTTCCAAAGCTCGCCACACCTCATGAGATATTATTAAGATTATGGGCAAAAAAATATCTTTTAACAACAAAGGTACCCAACAGTTTAACTGATTCGATATGGGGTCATTCAATTTGACCGAGTCACATGACCTTCTGTACTCGTTTAAAGTTGACATAAATTTAATACTTATAACTCTCTATATATTGGATATATCTTCACAAAATTTGGCAGTCTTTCAGTTAATATTGCATATTTTTCACATTTCTTATTGAAGTACTTTTAATGAAATAAAATAAAGTTTTGTCCATGAATATATTGGGTATTTGTTTTGAATAGTCCGTGTG